CACATACATACAACAACAACAACAACCGCCATTCGCCACTAAGTGGCGGTGACGTCACCACGATGCTTGTGCCAGGCCAAGTGCACCTTGAGGCCACGTGAAGTGTCGAAAGCCCGCTGGCAGGAGGTCACGGGGCAGACCCAGGTGCCACTGGTCGACTGACCGAGATGACCGAGATGACTGGCTGATGCACCACCTGTGCCCCCTACTGTGCCAACTTGCTGTGCTTTAGCCACCCGGCGCTCCGCTCGTTGTTGTGAGCGTCGCTCCTCCGCCCTCCGTTGTTGTTGGAGGGCGACTGCCTCCAACTGCCCAGTAGCGTCCTTCACGAGCCTCCTCCACTGAGGCCGATCTTGACACCGCTGGTACCAGTCATCGGCAAGTCCACTCAGCTCCACGTCCTCCTGTACCACATCACTCCATCTCTTCTCCAGCCCGTGCCGCGCCCGTCTAGCCCCCTCGATCCGGCCGAACAAAAGCTGTTTAGGCATGCGGTGGCTGGGCATGCGGGCTACATGACCCAGCCAACGCAGCCTTGCCTGCCGGAGGAGCTCACTGATGGGACTTTGCCCAGATCTTTCAAGGATTTGTGAGCTCCTCACACAATCCAGCCTGGTTAAACCCAGGATGGATCGTAGGCAGGCCAGCCTAAATGTTTCCAACCGGCGAAGATGCTCCACCAGGGGGGTCCACGTCTCGCAAGCGTAGAGAAGGGAGGGAATGACCGTGGCCGAGAAGACCTGAAGCTTCGTGCGGAGCGACAGACCAGGTAGCTTCCACACAGCGTTACGCAACCGATGAAAAGATATTGCCGCTCGACTGATTCGGAGTGAGACCTCTGCTGATAGACTGGAGCCGGTCATAAGCATACTGCCCAGGTATGGGAAACTCTCCACTCTCTCCACAACTGCCCCATCACCAATTGGGAGTTGTGGGGGTGGAGTGTCCGATGGTACAAAATACCCAGGCAGGTGCTTGGTTTTGGTGGGGCTGATGGTAAGGCCCCACCTCTTAGTGGCACGCTCCAGTCTCAGCAGCAGCGCCTCCAACTCCTCTTCTGAATGAGCAGCTATTACCATACATACATACACACATACACACACATACATACACACATACATACACACATACACACATACATACACACATACATAATACATACAAACAAACACACTACACTCACATACACACACATACATACACACATACACACATACATACACACATACACGTATATACTCACATACACACATACATACATACACACTCACATGCCCGCGACCCCGTCACTATGCGCACACCGCCTTATCTTAATTCACCCGTGATTAAATTCACCGACACACCGACCCGAGACTCTGACGCCTACTATTTAATAATTCTAAATTATAATTATATACTATATACACACGAATGTTAATAATAATCATCGTCATCATCATCATCGTGTGTAACAATAACAATGCACGAGAAGCTGTCTGCATCGGTCATGGGCCTTCCCCTCGAGGTAAACTGAGTCCTGAATCGGTCATCGTTAACCGCATTACGTTGGGGGCGCTGGTGATGCTGATGGCGGTGATGGTAGTGATGGTGGTGATGGTGGTGATGGTAGTGATGGTGGTGGTGATGGTGGTGATAGTGGTGCTGGTGGTGGTGGTGATGATGGCGGTGATGGTGGTAGTGGAGGTAGTGATCGTGGTGGTGCTGGTGGTGATGTTGCTGGTGGTGCTAGTGAAATTGCTGGTGGTGGTGATGGTGCTGGTGACGGTGGTGGTGCTAGTGGTAGTGATGGTGGTGCTGGTGGTGCTGGTGGTGATGGTGGTGAAGATGGTGATGGTGGTGAAGGTGGTGAAGGTGGTGCTGGTGGTGATGGTGGTGAAGGTGGTGATGGTGGTGTTGATGGTGGTACTAGTGGTGATGGTGGTGGTGGTGATGGTGGTAGTTATTGTGGTAGTGATGGTGGTGATGGTGGTGGTGCTGGTGATGGCGCTGGTGGCATATGAGTGGCCAACACCACGCCCGGCCGCCTTTGTCTCCCCAGTGACGACAATGTACCTGGTGCGATGATGTGGAATTTCCACCACGGATTCAGGTCATTAAACAGGGGGAGAGTTGCGACTGAGGGGACTCAATGTGCCTTTGTCATGAACACCGCTCGGCCCTTCTACCCCAGCACTGCTCCCTTCGATCCTGGATCCCCCCCACCCCGTACCACCCCCTCGCCACCCCCCTCCACGACCCTCCCCCCCACCCCCACTGCCACAATCCCCAAACATTTTTGAATAAACAGGAACTTGTTTATAACACAGGAACTTGTCATTATTTTACTGCCAGAAGAGACTGCGATAAACCATCCGCCCAGCGTCGATGGCTCCAGGATCCAGTTTTTTTTGTTTGATCACGGAACGAGCTCCACCCCGGGTTTTGTTACCCCACCCCTCACTCCCAGGTGGCAGAGCCACCGATTTCTCGCTGGTTGACGACAAAAAGCGCCAAGTCCCTGCAATGGTTCTCTCGCTCCACCGCTGGTGGAAGGAGCTCAACGAGACACAGCGGAGTGATTGAGCACCCACACACACACAGATACAGATATTTGTAAACCCTTCCACGTTGACCAAACGCCTTGGAAGAAGAGATGGCAGCATCCACATTTCTTTCCACCACCACCACCACCACCATACGTGACCTGCCCATCGACTAAACTGTGGCTGTAGTCGCTGTACCCGTTCGGACTGCTGCGTGAAAGACAAAGATGGTCTATGGGGGGGGGGCAGGGAGGGGGGTGGTGACTTAACTGCCACGCCGGCAGATCGAACCGACAGCCTCTTAGATTGCAGCATGATGATGATGTAGATGATGATGAAAACGATGAACATGATGATGATGGTGATGATGAAGAGGGTGATGATGACGATTATGACGATGATTATGATGATGAAGATGATGATGTTGACGATGATGAACATGATGATGATGAAGATGATGTGGAATGAACTTTACAAAGCTCAGAGTGAAAACGTCGACATCAGACTCCGTCACGTGGCCTTCGCGCATGGGGATGGCCCGGGAAAGAAGGAAGCCGTGACGGCGAGAGGGGGTAGGTGAGGGGGGGGGTAGGTGAGGGGGGGGGTAGGTGAGGGGGGGGGTAGGTGAGGGGGGGGTAGGTGAGGGGGTGGGTAGATGAGGGGGGGGTAGGTGAGGGGGGGGGTAGGTGAGGGGGGGGGTAGGTTGAGGGAGGGGGTAGGTGAGGGGGGGGGGTAGGTGAGGGGGGGGGGGGTAGGTGAGGGGGGGGGTAGGTGAGGGGGGGGGTAGGTGAGGGGGGGGGTAGGTGAGGGGGGGGGTAGGTGAGGGGGGGGGTAGGTGAGGGGGGGGGGTAGGTGAGGGGGGGGGTAGGTGAGGGGGGGGGGTAGGTGAGGGGGGGGGTAGGTGAGGGGGGGTAGGTGAGGGGGGGTAGGTGAGGGGGGGGTAGGTGAGGGGGGGGTAGGTGAGGGGGGGGGTAGGTGAGGGGGGGGGTAGGTGAGGGGGGGGTAGGTGAGGGGGGGGGTAGGTGAGGGGGGGGGTAGGTGAGGGGGGGGGTAGGTGAGGGGGGGGGTAGGTGAGGGGGGGGGTAGGTGAGGGGGGGGTAGGTGAGGGGGGGGGTAGGTGAGGGGGGGGTAGGTGAGGGGGGGGGTAGGTGAGGGGGGGGTAGGTGAGGGGGGGGTAGGTGAGGGGGGGTAGGTGAGGGGGGGGTAGGTGAGGGGGGTAGGTGAGGGGTAGGTGAGGGGGAGGTAGGTGAGGGGGGGGGTAGGTGAGGGGGGGGTAGGTGAGGGGGGGGTAGGTGAGGGGGGGGTAGGTGAGGGGGGGGTAGGTGAGGGGGGGGGGTAGGTGAGGGGGGGGTAGGTGAGGGGGGGGGTAGGTGAGGGGGGGAGGTAGGTGAGGGGGGGGTAGGTGAGGGGGGGGGGTAGGTGAGGGGGGGGGTAGGTGAGGGGGGGGGGTAGGTGAGGGGGGGGGTGGGTGAGGGGGGGGTAGGTGAGGGGGGGTAGGTGAGGGGGGGTAGGTGAGGGGGGGGTAGGTGAGGGGGGGGGTAGGTGAGGGGGGGGGGTAGGTGAGGGGGCGGAGGGGAGGGGGAGGGGAGGAGGGCAGGGGGGAGTGGGGGGCAGGAACACGTGGAGAGTCGAGGAGGGGAGTACACTATTCGTGTCTCTGTCTGTGTGTATGTCTGTGTGTGTGTGTGGGTCTGTCTGTTGGTCTGTCTGTGTTTGTGTGCCTGTCTGTGTGTCTGTGTGTGGCAATGTGTCGCGAACAGCACTTGCCCCCGAAAGTCCGTGAAGGCTACACGGGGATCGTTGTCTTTGTTGTCTGTGGGGAACAATCGAGTCGCGGTTCGCGAGCCGCGCTACGGCCTCGACGACCCGAGTTCGAGTCCCGCTCATCACGAGTGAAGATTATGTTCTGAACCGGTCCTGAGCCTCCCCCTAGGTCGACTCAGCCTCAAATCAGTAACTGCTGCGATGTGTAAAGCATTTCCACTAGGGAGACAAAGGCGGCCTGGTATGGTGCTGGTCACCCACCCCCTCGTGTGCCGTTCCAGCCTTCATAGGTGCTGCTCGCTAACAGCACTTGCCCCTTGCAGTTTGTTCGAGTTATGGAGGATCTTTGATTTCATCTCTTTCTGTGCGTCTGTGTCAGTCTGTCTGTCTTTCTGTCTCGCTTCGTGTGTGTGTGTGTCTGCGTGTGTGCGTGTCAGTGTGTCTGCGTGTCAGTGTGTCTGTGTGTGTGCGTGTCAGTGTGTCTGTGTGTGTGTGCGTGTCAATGTGTCTGCTTGTGTGTCAGTGTGTCTGCGTGTGTGTGTCAGTGTCTGCGTGTGCGTGTCAGTGAGTCTACGTGTGCGTGTCTGTGAGTCTACGTGTGCGTGTCAGTGAGTCTGCGTGTGCGCGTGTCAGTGTGTCTGCGTGTGCGCGTGTCAGTGTGTCTGCGTGCGTGTGTGTGCGTGCGTCAGCCTTCTTTGCTCGCGTGAAACTTACCTCGGCGTCGATCCTCACCCAAACTCCACCTCCCTCTCGTCCTGCCTCTCTGCTGCCCGGCGCTCTCGATGCGCGCCTTGCGAGTGATTAATTCCTCCACGCGTGGCGCATGAATTTAGCCAATCGCTCTCCGGCAATTAGGGCTTCTCGGCGCGAGCGGCGTGTGACACGGATCACACGCACGTGACACGGATCCTGGGATAAAGAGAGCGGTGGGATGAGTGGTGCACGCGGTGGTGGGGGGTTGGGGGTGAAAGGGTGGGGGGGGAGTGTGGATTAACATTTGTTTTGGGTTGTGTTTTGTTTCTTTAAACCTTGAAGCGACCTCTGTATAAAAAAGCAGCGTCGATTTAACTTCATCTCTTGCGTTCTGAGCCATTGCCGATTTTAAAGATGGAAAAAAAACCTGGAGAGAGAACTTCGCGGGAAATCTGGTTATAGCTGTGGGTTTGAGTCTCTGATAGGGCGAGTACTCTAAATTCTGGGTAGGATATTGTTAGGTCGTTCGCTACTCGGGGTTATGGTTAACTAGCGGAATAGAATCAGTGGCTGGCTGTCTCCTGGTTGGGGGCGGTTTGATGAAATGTCAATTATTACCCAAGCAGACACGAACCATAACTAACGAGCTAACCAGACACTAACTCTACCCCCTTGAACTTCCTCGACTCTAACCTTACCAATCACCCAAGCAGACACGAACCATAACTAACGAGCTAACCAGACACTAACCCTACCCCCTTGAACTCCTCGACTCTAACCACAGACCTGTAGGCGGCCGAACCATAAGCACGGTGCCCACACGTGGGCCCGAACACTCGCCCTCAACTCTCGCCCCGATCACAGCTCTCATCACTCAAGCCGCGTCGGACCAATCAGACACTCCGTATCACCCTATCCCTAACCCTAACCCCGAGCGTCCACGTCGACATCTTCGCCGAGACCCCCCCCCCCCGCCCCCAAATAAACAATTCCTCGTCACTTTCTCACTCCACGATCGCCGCTCACCTCGTCACGCGTCATCACCTCGTTTCATCATCATCATCGGCAGAGTGAATCTGGGTGCTCTTAAAGAGAATCATCGACTGCGCATGCGCATAATTTTCACACCCCACCCCAGCCCCTCCCTCTACCCCCCCTCGCCCCTCGCCTCTCCCCTGCAGTAAAATTGATGAATTATGGTATTATTTACAGACTTATTGTATAAATATTAAAAAGAACTGAAAATTCGGCCGTGGTGGCGCTGCGCACTTTAGACTTTGGATGGCCGTAAAAGTAATGAAAGAAAACAAATTCTCGTGTGGCAATGTGTACTCAGACAATGTAAATCTACACGGGTTAACGACACTAATGCAGTGGCCGTTCACGTTGTAGACAAAAGTATAGGCGTTTACAATTAAATATAAACAACAATTACAAAGATTGTTGTTTTGGTTGTTGTTGTTGTTTCGAGTTATCTGGATCGAGTCCTCCCCAGCTCAGTGTCGGGAAGTTGCTTTTTGACCATACTTCACCACACTGGTTAGGGTTGGTGTGGCGGGGTTGGTTTGGATATCACCCGCCACTGATGTTAGCCGTTGCCGGGAATCGAGCTCAAGTCGCAGGGTTCATAGTGCAGTGCGCTAATCATTGCGCCACCGCTCCCAATGTATGAACCATAGTACTTTCTACACACACACTAACAGTATATATTGTATATGACATCAAAGGTCGTTGTGTGTGTGTGTGTGTGTATTTAATGGCAGAGTTCCTAATCTCTACGATTTGAATTCCCCTGCTTTCCCATCAGTGAAGGAGTGGTGGTGCAGCGGTTGGCGCACTGCCCGCTAGGAACCGAAGTTCGCTTCGCAGTCACGGCCACCATCAGTGGCGCGTTATGTTCTGAGCCGGGCTCCTGCCGCCTTCCAGCAACCCGCGTGGTGAAGTATGGTCAAACAACTCCACCGCAACAGCCACGTGTGTGTGTGTAAGGGGAGTCCTTCATTCAGCAGTGGATTTGACAAAGGGCTAGTAAACTCTGGTTACATTATTATCCCCGATAAAGATCCCCCGTGTAGCCTGTAGCAGACTGTTGGGGCAAGTGCTGTTGGCGAGCACCTGTGAAGGCCGACACGGCACACGAAGGAGTGGGTGGCCAGGATCCACGACGTTTACACATCGCACCAAAAACTCATTTGAGGTTGAATCGACGTAGGGGAGGTCCATGATCGGTTAAGATATTCATCACTGGTGTTGGCCGTGAGCGGGAATCGACCGCGGGCCGCCGGGTTCGTAACGCAGTGTGCTAACTGCTGCGCCACCACTCAATAATACCCCCCCCCCACCCCCACCATGTTTTACCCCCTCCCAGATCCCCCACCAACGGACTTTGTGATTCGATTCATTGTCCCCGTTACTGGGACGCGATTCGATTCAACCGACAGTCTCATTCAGATGAATTGTGGTGATAATTTTGTGTGGTGAGAGATGATGATTCGGTTGATGCTCATCTCGACGAACAGTCTGATTATCGTGGTTTGACATTATAGATTATGACGATTAGTTGATGATGATTATGATGATGAAGCCGAGCTTCCCTAGAAAAATAGAAACATTTATTAATTTATTTCGAACTCCGAACTCCAAGCCACTCCCCACTCCTTAGCCTCGCTTCCTCTGCGTGACTTTCCGGTCACCCCCAATTCACCCCACATCCCCTCTCCCCACCTCCCCCACCTCCTCCCCACCTCCCTCCACTCCTCCCCGCGCCCTTCCCGTTATCATCCCAAAAGCACCCACCCCCCGCGCCTCTCCTGAAGCGCGTAGCACCAATTCCCTCTCCCTGCCACCCTCCCCCCAACTTCCCCCGTCTCTCTAAAGCAGAGCTCCCCACTTGGCCATCGTAGCGACTCCACGGAAGGGGAGGGAGGGGAGGAGGTGGGAGAGATGTGGGGCGAATGGGGCGGGGGGGCTGGAGAGAGTAAGAGGGAGAGGGAGGACCATCGTGGGTGGTGCAAATGTAGTTTGTTTCCCATTCCACCAGAGATCACAAACTGCAGAGACCACAAACTGCAGAGACGACAAACTGCCGAAATCACAAACTGCAGAGATCACAAACTGCAGAGATCACAAACTACAGAGACCACAAACTGCCGAGATCACAAACTGCCGAGATCACAAACTGCCGAGATCACAAACTGCCGAGATCACAAACTGCCGAGACCACAAACTGCAGAGACCACAAACTGTCGAGACCACAAACTATAGAGATCACAAACTACCGAGATCACAAACTGCCGAGACCACAAACTACAGAGATCACAAACTACCGAGATCACAAACTGCCGAGATCACAAACTGCCGAGACCACAAACTGCAGAGATCACAAACTGCCGAGATCACAAACTGCCGAGACCACAAACTGCAGAGACCACAAACTGTCGAGACCACAAACTATAGAGATCACAAACTGCCGAGATCACAAACTGCCGAGATCACAAACTGCAGAGACCACAAACTGCAGAGATCACAAACTGCCGAGATCACAAACTGCCGAGATCACAAACTGCAGAGATCACAAACTGCAGAGATCACAAACTGCAGAGATCACAAACTGCAGAGATCACAAACTACAGAGATCACAAACTGCAGAGATCACAAACTGCCGAGATCACAAACTGCAGAGATCACAAACTGCAGAGATCACAAACTACAGAGATCACAAACTGCAGAGATCACAAACTGCAGAGATCACAAACTGCAGAGATCACAAACTGCAGAGATCACAAACTACAGAGATCACAAACTGCAGAGATCACAAACTGCCGAGATCACAAACTGCAGAGATCACAAACTACAGAGATCACAAACTACAGAGATCACAAACTGCCGAGATCACAAACTGCAGAGATCACAAACTGCAGAGATCACAAACTGCCGAGATCACAAACTGCAGAGATCACAAACTACAGAGATCACAAACTGCAGAGATCACAAACTGCCCAGATCACAAACTGCCGAGATCACAAACTGCTGAGATCACAAACTGCCGAGATCACAAACTGCCGAGACCACAAACTGCAGAGATCACAAACTGCCGAGATCACAAACTGCTGAGATCACAAACTGCCGAGACCACAAACTGCAGAGATCACAAACTGCCGAGATCACAAACTACAGAGATCACAAACTGCCGAGACCACAAACTGCAGAGATCACAAACTGCCGAGATCACAAACTGCAGAGACCACAAACTGCCGAGATCACAAACTGCCGAGACCACAAACTGCAGAGATCACAAACTGCCGAGATCACAAACTGCAGAGATCACAAACTGCAGAGATCACAAACTACAGAGATCACAAACTGCAGAGATCACAAACTGCAGAGATCACAAACTGCTGAGATCACAAACTACAGAGATCACAAACTGCAGAGATCACAAACTGCTGAGATCACAAACTGCCGAGATCACAAACTGCAGAGATCACAAACTGCAGAGACCACAAACTGCCGAGATCACAAACTGCAGAGATCACAAACTGCAGAGACCACAAACTGCCGAGATCACAAACTGCAGAGATCACAAACTGCCGAGATCACAAACTGCCGAGATCACAAACTGCAGAGATCACAAACTGCAGAGATCACAAACTGCCGAGATCACAAACTGCAGAGATCACAAACTGCTGAGATCACAAACTACAGAGATCACAAACTGCAGAGATCACAAACTGCTGAGATCACAAACTGCCGAGATCACAAACTGCAGAGATCACAAACTACAGAGATCACAAACTGCTGAGATCACAAACTACAGAGATCACAAACTACAGAGATCACAAACTGCCGAGATCACAAACTGCTGAGATCACAAACTGCCGAGATCACAAACTGCAGAGATCACAAACTGCCGAGATCACAAACTGCAGAGATCACAAACTGCAGAGATCACAAACTACAGAGATCACAAACTGCTGAGATCACAAACTACAGAGATCACAAACTGCAGAGATCACAAACTGCTGAGATCACAAACTGCCGAGATCACAAACTGCAGAGATCACAAACTACAGAGATCACAAACTGCAAAGATCACAAACTGCAGAGATCACAAACTGCTGAGATCACAAACTGCCGAGATCACAAACTGCAGAGATCACAAACTGCCGAGACCACAAACTGCAGAGACCACAAACTGCAGAGATCACATACTGCCG